CTGGGGTCAACAGGTCCACCTGCCATGTCTGAAACACAATGAAGAGTTAATATACTTGTTAATACTTCCAATAGTGTATTACATGTTCTCTTACGTAAGGCAGTCTTCTGTCTATTCTTGAATAATAAATATTCAACTGATGTTTACATTGGACCATTTGCCTGCCAGATATTAAGCAGCAGAACTCCACGGGGAACATGAACACTATTCAATACCAAAACCACCCGAATCCAAACCCATCTTTATTACATCATCTTTCGCGTCCTCATACAAGTACCACCAAGTATCACGATCAATATGACAACAGCCTTAAAAAGTGACAAGGCAACACGATACACGACGATATCACAAGGCAACACGGATCTCTCATCCAAGATTCTGCCCAACTTTCCTTTACTTTGTTCTTTATGCTAAATATTTGTGGCAAGCTACGCTGATCTTCCTCGGCACAACTTCCCCCACAAGACAAAAACTGACTTAGAAAGATGATCTAACAGGACACAAAAGCTTCTAAAAAGCCAGCATTGTTTCCTTCCATCGAAGACGAGGTATTCACTGGTTGCTTTACAACTTTGGCCCTAAAGTTGATTGTTTGCAGTGTCACCAAGAGAACCAAGACAACAGGAACAAACACTGTAGGGTGAAGTTTCGTCCCTAATTGTTTAATGGGTACAATTACTTGGGAGTGTGGAATTTGATGTTTTCTATGTTCATTGTGTGTACGGAAGGTTAGGAGTGTGGAATTTGATGTTCATTGTGTGTACGGAAGGTTAGGTAGGTTAGATAAGTACAGCTCAATCGGAAAATTACTCGTTTGTTTTTACTAAATAAAAGCTTTTTTTTTTCTTTAAATTTCAATAAGAATAATATTTTAAGTTAAACTCAGATAATTGTGGTAACTGTTGAAATTTAAAAAAAGAATTGCTATAAACATTTATTAAATACATATGTAATAAAAGAGAAAAGTGTGAAAAGCCTAACCTGACATGGGGGCACCAAAAGGGAGATATATGCAAGTTATCAATTGTGGCAGTAATTATTTTTAATAACAGGAATTGATCACAATAAAACTCAAAAATCATGTTTAAAAAAAACTCACAACATATAAACCCAATTCTGATTTGGTGTCTGATGAAAATAATTCAGGAAACATGGACACCATGAATTAAGAATATGAATTGGTTTAATGTATTAGTATTAATGTGTGACTGTTAATCTATTACCACATCTATCTAAAATCTTAATGATTATCATCTGTGACGAGCTCGTTTGCATTCAATTATAAACAAAGACAATTACTGCCACCTAGTGGGAACTCTTTCTCACTGCAAAACTGTACAAAAGAGCATTATATACTGTTTGTAATAGTGGAGCAGCATTAATTTGAAAAAATTTGAAAAAAATATAATACGGTAAAATTAAATGTCTAGTAAAGTGGTATGTAAATCTATTTTTTACTGAAAAAAAATATAAGGTAAAATTAAATGTCTAGTAAAGTGTTATGTAAATCTATTTTTTACATTCAGAACCTTGACTGAATCCCCCAAGCATGCAATTTCTAGGTTTCAAATTATTTCATATTTACCACTTTTGTAGAAGTTTTGCATTCTTGAGTAAACCTACAATCACGGTGGAAATCAATCCACAGGAAATGTGAGGAATTGGTCAATTCTTACCCGTTTTACAGTAGTGGTAGTTTTATATAGCCTCAGACCTCCAAAACACTGCATATAACACAATCCCTGTAAATGTCACAAACATTGTTATACATGACAAGGTTTAGGAGGGGGGAGAGGGAATGACATTAGTACCTTGGCGCTGTGATCGAATAGTCACTGCAAACAATGTACTGTCGTAATTAATACCCACGAACTCAAAACAAAAAAACAATGTCAAACAAGAGAGATTAATTGCGAATGGGGTAGCTACGTATTGAAGGAGAAAGGCTGGATCCGCCGAATAACACTATACGCCCAGGTTATAAAAGGGCCGGCGCTTATGCTGACATAAGTCATAGCTGAGCACAGAGCTGCCACTATGGCTGAGCTGCTCGACAAAAGAGGTGGATGCTGATCAGAGTCCCTCCCCCTGTTAACCACTCCAGCAACGGCAAACCAAAACCTACATAAACATTGAAACAATAATTTCAGCAAATATGACGCTGGCTGACAGGACAAACAGGTCTGTAAGACGAATGCGCGCTTAAAAGTCTATAAATACAACCGAGATTACCCTACATCAATTCTATTTTTTTTTTAAATGACAAGGAGGAAAAACAACAAGTCCCCAATGTCCGCTTCGGGGAGCGCGGACAGCCGGACAATGAACAGCGTTAGCTGTCCCGAAGAGCAGACCACAGCTAATCCAACACATTTGCCAATTCCGACTGTTTGTACTCGAGACCACTCCGCTCGAGTCGTGTTGCAATCTTTATCCACAGATTGCCGAGACCGGGATGAATGCGTTCTGCGAGTCCCTGCGCTAGCATTTCAACTCAGTACCGTCCACATCCCCATTCTAATGCAATCTTTATGTGTAGATTGCGGTTAAGTGTTCGTCCCATGGAGAAGCCACTGCAAAACATATCTGGCAGGGAAAAGTCCGACTTCATGAGCTAGTATTTGCTACGCCTACGGCAATCTTTATGAATAGATTGCTTATGGCTGTTTCGGCGAGTTCACAGCTTATACTTAGAAAATGTCGCCCATTTCGTCTCACACACAAAGACACGGAGCCAAGAGCCTCCGCCCGCTTTCCTGTGTGAGCTCATGCTAGAATCTAAAATTTAGAATTTTAACAACTAAACGTTTCTCAATTTGCCTGCTTAGCCAGCTATCACTAGGAAACAGTTATATACGGATAGTTGATATTGTTATGAATTTCAATTCAACTTACTATTCTTAATACAGATCCCCAGCTTCCAGGTATATTATAGTGTGCTTACAGGCACTTATTAGCTTATATTATTAATTTTATGTCTTCAAACTTCATTGTTTTAATATCAACTCAAAAGACTTCTTATGGGTGGGGTTGTGGTAGCTAGGAGCTAGCCTTTCCTTCAGGACAAAATTGGAGGCAAAAAGAGTAATCAAATGTCCATTACTTGAAGAAAAAATATGAATTTGAGTTGAGTTGTTCAAAGTCCTCGACGGCTGAGTCTTCGGGAAAACACATTCATACCTGTAAAAACACACAAAAAACAAATATTTGATTCGTGTCCGGTAATTTTCGTTTTCCTCTGGTTGTATTAATATAAAATTAAGATAGTAGGCAACATTATACTAAATTCAACGTCTAAATACTAGTTTAATAAAGCGTTCATGTCTTCATGACTTCACTTACCTCTGACCAAATCCAGGAATGAACTCGGAAGGAGGGACTTGGCTTTTATACTTGGTGACGTTTTTTACGTCACAAAGAGCGTTTTTGCTCGTACGTAACTGTAATAAAATGGCCGACGGCTGACCTTACCGTGCGTACAAGGGCAAAATGGCGTTTGCCATGTTGTTGTCACAACTTTTGGTCATAGATCACTTTGCAGACAATTAAATTGACTTATTTCTATGTATTTCCATAGAACATCGACGGGAAAGTAGTATTTGAATTACAACTCCGCGTTTATTCAATTAATTTTACATTTAAAAAAAGTTGTAAATAGTTGAAAATGGCGACTCGTCGGTCTAAACGGATTAGTCACGTGATCAATTCGGACACGCATGCATTTTAAAACAAACTGCCTAATATTATATAACATAATAAGCGAAGAGTCACAGTTGCACTTATAAATACAAATATAATTTGGATTAGTATTGCATTATTATAAATATTTAAAATAATGTAAAAACAAATGTAACTCAACTCATTTGCGTCACTTCACGTTTACCTTTTACCCCGCGACACCGTATGACAGCGAAATGGCTGCCTCCATGCAGCTTATCGGGAACCTTCTGTGCCGTATCACGCCGTCAATTTTACAGCCACTGAGACCATTTCAGGTATTGCAAATAGCTATTCTCTGCGACAACGATTCTATCAATGTATTCAGAGGATAATACTTGCATATATTTGTAAGAAGATAACACCAGTATCGGTCAGGCGTTATGGCGTTTTGTGCCCTAAGTATTTTCGTGTTAATGTTGATGTATTTTAACACGATATAATTAACTTCTATAGTCTATATATAAATAAATATATATATGGTCGGCTTTATTACTCATTCCAAGACTGTTTTGACGTCACTGCTTAGCTTTATGTATTTTCTTCAAAGTAAAAAAGATTCTTCAGTGTATGCAAAAGAGTCACAAAAGGAGGATTAGGATATTCTTCAAAGCAAAAAAGATTCTTCATTGTATGCAGAAGAGTCACTAAAAATACAAGAAACCTATATAGATTTGTTTGTGAATGAGTGATGAGAAGAATATTTTATGTAGGTAAATGCTGAAACCTGAATTTAATTCTGTCAAGAACGTTTTATCCTGTTGAGGGCAAAATTAACAACAAATGTATCTTTATACATAAATTACTAATACATGTAAAGACAAAAGCACGACTGTGTGAATTTTGGAAATACTAATAAAATACCAGTTTTAAAGAAAAACAAAATTACAAGATTTTTTTATTGTTTTGTAATCCTGTTATATCATAATGGGATACATAACAAGCTTGTGTGATTAACATTATTTTTTGGTGATGGATTAAAAGCAGAGTTTCTTTGTATCCTCGTGGTACAATGACTATAGAGACCATAAAATAAAAAATGAATAAGATAAATGCAGTTTTTTGGGGTAGTATAAATATAGGTTATTTTTTTGATTACTTTTTTGACATGCAAATGTGTTCTCCATGTTTGTGCCTGTCTGAGATACTGATAAAAGATTATTTTGTATATACAGTCCTTACAGAGGATACCAGGACAACCATGTCTGAGAACCTCACCGTTCATGCTTCCAAGTCATTCTTTCTGCAATGAGGCTTCAGCTGAAAAGGCTGCTAAGCCTAAAGTGGTCACCTCTCGCTACAAGGACAGACCCTGGGACTACCTGGAGAGTGAAGGTGCCAACAGTAATGATAATAATAATATTCTTAATGTACTTGATATTTCAAACTCTCATTGTGTCTAAACTTACACAGATAAAAGTAGAGCATAATTAACAAAAAGTAGAACTGATAAACATATACCAATATTTATGATATATATTAAATTTGCTTTAATAAAGCATTCAGATGGGTTTCAATTAAAATTTGCTTTGGGGTAAAAATAAAATCAATAAATTAACATTGAAATTACAAATAACACCCCCAGACAAGAACAAAATATATATATATTATATGTTATTTTTTAAAATGAAATTGTCTTTGGTCATTAAAATAACACCAAAATAAGCAGACATGAAAAGTTTTCAAACTTAGCAGAATGAGCATTTTGGTGTAAGGGTAATTTTATACACCATTTGTTGAAACTAAATTAAAAAAAGGGTTTCTTGTCATCACATTATTTTCATGGTATATTTATATGGTATATTTTGTAATTACAGAATACATAGAGAAATATGGGACCAGTTCTGTGTGGACAGGGTACAGGAGGAATCACAAAGGAGGGATACCGCCACAGAAGACTCGCAAGACCTGTATTGTAAGACGTCTCCCTTTATTCCATCCCAGATGGTTCACGTTACAGTAGTTACACACGTTATTTATAACATTTTAAAACTAAATGTACCAAAGCTAATGTGAGCTCTGTTTCTTTAGAGAGGAGTAAAGGTCTGTGGAAACCCATGTCCAATTTGTCGGGATCCTAACATTATCGTCCATCATCAGGTTGGTTAGGATATTGTTTCTCAGAGACTGGGTTTGAGATTTTTTTTTTTTTGGGTCATCTCACATAGTGTTTCCTAGGAGTTCATGAATAATGTCTATTGACCTGGGTTGCGAAGGTTTGGGAAACACTGTTGTTAGCGTATCAGTCACTCTTTTTACCAATCACACTACTTCATCAGCTGGGTACTTTAGGGTAATAAAGGGTACTTTAAGCCCATTTAAAGTAACAAGGAGTTTAGTAATTGTATGCAGATGTGAGTTTTTGGGGGGGGGATTTACCTACCATCATTTACCTATTGACATGTAAAGGTCAATGCATGTGATACTCGGGTTGTGAGGTTGTTGTGACGATGAAATCAGTCACTGCAGAATTCAGCAAATTTACATAAACACTTACATGTGTTTGCCACCAGCAAACACACAGCCCTTCACAACCCTAGTAAACAGCCATAGTACAGGGTAATCTACCAGATAAACCTGAAACCACATGATCAAGAACAGCACTTTTATAGAAAGGAGTTGTTTTTTTTAACTGATCATAAATGTTAGTCTGCTATCATACACATCTGATTAACTCTTTCTGCCAGTAACCCTAATTCTCTGTCCCTCTGTAGAATGTGAAACTGCTGAAGCAATTCATTAATTCCGAAACCGGAATAGTGTACGATCCGACTCGAACTGGTGAGTCCTCTCGTCGCGTCACCTATCGCGATGCATGCGTTTTCCTGTTCTTCCTGCTGCTAACCTGACTTGCTCGTCTCCAGGTATTTGTATGAAACAACAGAAGCTGCTCGTCAAAGCCGTCGGCACAGCAAAAGATCACGGTATGTGTCACTTTGAAATGGAAATCCAGTTAGAAAAAATAAAACAGACAATCCACAAACATCCAGACACTGAAGTGAAGAAAAGCAGCAACATTTGAGCAGTTGTTGAAAGATTTTTTTTTTTGTCAGAATTTTTGTTATAATTCAACGAGAAAACGAGGGAATTGATGATGGTTGTAATAATCGAAACTGAGGTGAAGAACTGTGTCTGGGATTGAAAAATTAAGTATAAACATAATAAATACCAAGGTTTTGATTACTTAATATATGCTTGAAGCTTGTTTGAAACCCCTGAAAACAGGCTGGAACAGGCAAGGGCAAACTGTGGCCCGGGGGCCAGATGCGGCCCGTTGGGCTTTACAATCCAGCCCACCAAACTTTTCCAAATTATGTTATTTGTTTCTATTTTCATTATATTTCTACCTTTCCCCCGCAATGCCCGCATTTTCCCAATAGATGGCATAGACGAGGCAGAGAGCATTTTAGCCTTGACTCACTGACATTTATTGTACATGTCATTTGTTTTAGTTCGTACGAACGCTCCATCTATCTGCTCCTGACCCGGCCCCTCTGTCAAATTTTAGGGCCCATTGTGGCCCGCGAATCAAAAGTTTGCCCACGCCTGGGCTAGAAATTAATATAGTTTTGTCTTCAACTCCAAAATATATTACATATTGTGGTAGAGAAGTGGGCAAATACCTGTGTCCAGTGTTTTTATTGTTTTGTTTTTTATTACCAGATGAAGATGCACAACCTGACGTTTTGTTTTTTGTTTTTTTTTCTCTCCAGGTTTCCTCACCTTTCAGATTCCATACGTGCACTTTTCAGAACAGGATTTCTCCAGCTCTCACGATGCCGTGGGTAAAACCCCGCCTCCACCTTCCCTAAGCGCCGGTGACAGCTGGTACAAATGGTACGGTGAAATAATCCCTGATGAGACTGAAGTAGCTAAAGTCAAGAAGATCTACGCAGATTACCTAAAGTGAAAGAGGCAACGTAACTGTAAATTGTAATAACTTTATTCTTTTTCCACTATGTTAATCTCAAATTCCAACCTGTTTAATATTCGTTTGCATGTACACAAAAGAATAAACCATCGTTAAAAGTATTGTTTGGCCGTTGTAGCGTGTGTTATGTTACATGGAAAAATGTTCTTAATTGCTTGATAAACTGTTGCAGTAGCAGTCTTGAGAGCCAATCAGGTGCTGTTCCAGACGGGGTGTAGAAGGTGTGGCTGTAACATCGCTTTGTTTTCATGCGTCGACCTTGTTGATCATGGTTTCTCCGAGGGCCTCCAGTACTTCTCGTTTGTAGTCGTCGAAGTCCCCTTCGATCTGGTTGATGCTGCGGTCTTCTACCACCCACAGCTGACACTGGGTCTCTGTGATGAG